CCCCCCTGCCCCCCCCCCACGGGACTCTGATATATTGGATCTTGGATAAATAGCCTTGAAGACAAAAGAGACGCCTCCTCCCTGCTTTGTCTCCTTTATTACCTTGTCGATAAGCGCAGGTCTAGTAGAATGACCTGAGGGGGGTCTGCGGGCCGTCGAGCAGGCCTGTCCCAGCCTTGTGAATGAGAACGCAAGCACATTTCATTACTCACTGTTACAAGGCCAGCCAAAGTCACCTCTACAGGCTTTAGAGCATAGCTGGCATCAGGACCATTTGTGGGACGCTGAGACAGAGGTGGCAAGCAGTGTTTTCAGATTGTTTCCAAAATTCTTCCAAATGTTAGATTAATGCTTCCATACTCGTAACGATCCTATAAGCATTTGCCTTTAATCTGTGCTGCATTTTGCATCTCATTACTGAAGCACATCTTTCTGATTTTTGTACATACATTTTAAAGGGGGAATCACACAAATGAGGGGAAGCTACTGTATATGATTAGTGTGTATGATTGCATTTTCTGCTGTACTGACTAATGTTCATGCAATTTAGGATGGGTCTGATTTGTGTGGAAAGTCTTCTGCATGTAAACAGCAGGTGCAGATTTGTGCAGCTGTATTAGAATAAGGCTATGGTGGGTAAAAGAAGATTTAATAAAGCAGTGTTTTATTGAATTCCCAAATGATGGTGGACAAAGTGCTGCAGGAAAAGGGAGCTGCACTTAAATAGTAATAATAATAAATACACTAGTTGTGTGTGTTTGTAGCCGCCATAAACTTGAACTGTTAAAAAAGCTGTTAATGCACTTAGGGGATTGTTTAATTTACAACATGCTGATTTTTTCCATCTCTATAACTTAATTTATAAAAGATTATACATTTTTCAGTGAATAAAAAGTTTATACTGAGTAATAGATGTTTGGAAGTAGTAGTATTCTTATTTCAGTAGCCCACCATTGAACTGCATCTTTTAAGCTCTCCCTCACAGAGTGCACTCTGACTGTGTAATTACCTGCTGCCTTAGTAAATCAGACGCTAATTTCACACAAATTACAAGCAAGCATTTAATGAATTACTTTCATGTATACAAATCTGGCTCTGGGTGTGACTGTGGTATCCTTACACTGCATTCAGTTTGTTTCACACAGTAGGCCATAGTGGATATTGAGGGAATACACCCAAAATCATATCACACATCATATTTCCAGCCTCCCCAGGCATTTTTTTAATATCCAGTATCTGAGAGCATCCCAGGTATTTCTCTATTTGAGTTCTGTCTCTCTGATACCTAATGAATTGATGTGCAGCTGATGTAACAGATGGTGATGAGACATGAGGGGGAGAAGAGAGGAAGATTGCTTTGGTATGGCAGCATTGTGGTGTAAATCTCACCTGTTTTTTTTTTCTTTTCCTTGCACCCTTTTTTTCCTTTCTCTCTTCATCCCACCTCCTCCACTCTGTCACTATCTGTATCTCTTGCTCTGTCTTTGCACCATTTTCTCCCTCACCCCTCCCTCTCTCCCTTTCACTCTGTCGTCTCTCCAGGAGGTGTTAGAGCTGGCCTTCTCTGTCCTCTATGAGTCGGACGAGTATTTAAACTTTATTGCTCCTGACAAGCATGAGGTAAGCTAACAGTGGTGGTTGTTGACTGACAAACAGGACATGTGTGATTGCACAAAGAGAAATGTTCTTCAAGTATAGTGTATAGGAAGTTGTATATGTTCTGGAAATTATCACTACAGCTGTTCATTTGTCACATACACAGTGACTAAATGTGAGTGTATTGTCTTTTTTTTTTACCACTTTCTCTAGTATAAATATCAATAAATTAAGATTAGAGAAAGCTAACTATAAAATAAAAAACTCTGAAACAAAACTATAATATGTATAAGCAGAGCTGTAGACTTGAATGAGTGTATACAGTATATTGTACAGAAATAGCCACCAGCAAGATATATCTATTTATTCCATTCAGATAAGCAAGTGTCTGTCATGGACCAGCCAGCAATTCTTGGCAGCTGTATGTGTATCATGTCACCCATGTGCTTATACTCATGCCTGATACAAACAAACCAAACCAGACCGCACTTAGAAAAAGGGCCTGTTAGTGGACGGTACCTTTATCTTACTAAGAACTTGGGATCAAAAAGATCTAGTCTTAGATTTGAACATGGTAAAATAACAATAAAAAACGCAAGACACCTTCAGCTAGGCTTTGTATAACATCACTACACACCCTGAATATTTTTTATTACTATTATTATTGCTTTGTGAGAACCAGGTCTCAGGAATGTAAAATAAAAAACACAGGTTTTAAAGGGAATCGTTAAAATGCTGTGTCAGTTTACTGGCTTTTAAAAGCATTCAGAGACATTAAGAATTTGCAGTTATGAGTGGCGGATATGGATAAAATCACTTATGATAGTATATCTTACTTTATATTGCGACATCAATATTTATTGTGATATAGTACATTTCTGTAAAAAAATAAAAATCCAATATTTCCATAAAACACTCCTCATTGATTTGTGACATTGCCCATAATGGCCTCATACACTCAGACATATTTAAGGTTCAGCTACCATGGTATAAACGGTAAATACATTGAGATTGTATGACGCTGTATATGTAAACGTATTACCCAACACTTTAACTTGGAATGGAGCTAACTTTCCTTTGAGTTTACCTCAAAGAAACAGCTCTGCTAATAACTATAATACCTGGCAATAAGTAGAAGGGGAGTGTTCCTCTTTTTCATAGATTATGGTGTAATAGTACACATTGCCCACAGAGGTCTATTACTTGACTTCCTCTAAGGATAATTCACATAATTTTCTCAGCGCTTGATTCCAGAAACTTTTTTTTTGTCCTTTTTATTTAGGACAAGAGAGAAGAAGTCCCTGCTCTATTTCTTCTGAGTCACAGTGTACACAAACTGTCCTCCCTTGGTGGTTAGCTTCTTTTATGCGTGTATGTCTCTGTAGCAGGTGGAGTCAACAGCTTGCTCTGAGTTTGAAAACATGTCGTGCTTAATTATAGTTGGTAGATTTTGGATTTTTTTTTATTTTTGTGCTCATGACTGCAGCTTTCTGCCAGTACTGATTTGTTTTAATTTTAGATCTACCTCTGTCCATATCTCTGCAGTACTGCGTGTGGACAGATGGTCTAAACGCCCTCCTGGGTAAGGAGATGACCAGCGATTACACCAAATCTGACATGGACACCCTCCTCTCCATGGAGATGAAGCTCCGCCTCTTGGATCTAGAGAACATCCAGATTCCCGAGGCCCCGCCCCCGATTCCCAAAGAACCTAGCAACTATGACTTTGTTTACGACTGTAACTAGACGAACGACCCCACGAGCCCCCCGGATCTAAACCCACCCAGCACCTACTGTACTCACCGGACCAATCCCCTTTTCTTACAAACTGGAACAAAAACAAATAAAACCGTATGATAAAGAATATGAACTGTGATTGAAAGAAAAAAGGATTTATTGAACTATTTTCCTCTTGCTTCTTGCTAGACCTTTATGAGAGAGAAAATAGTGCATATTAATAGGCTCGCTGCACTTGAGGGACTCGGGGTCGATGCAGAGTCATCAGGTTGCCATGGAGAAGAGAAACCAGGAAGTATTTGTTTGGCCTATCGTTGGTCGTCCTGCGTCTTCTTTCTCACTCTTCCTCCTGTGTCTGATGTTTTGAAACATTCACTTCTTCTCGGCTGAGGCGCCTGCTGTCATTTTGCTTGAAGATTGTTGTAGACAAATGCTTAGAAATTTTATTTGATTTAGCTTCCTTGTTTTTTTTTTTATGTTTACTTTATTATTTTTCCTCAGGGCTTTTGTGGGAGGGAGGGATGATGGTTGTGAAGTTCAAGGAGCAGGGAGGGACAGGGTTTTGTGTTTTGTCGTCCGCTTTCCAGCAGTATTTCCTGTCACATTCTCACAGTACTTGTGGCAGCTAAGTGTTTCCCAAGAGGCTGAAAGGAAGGTTGAAGTACAATAGTCTCTTATATCTGCTTTGTCCTGCTACACATATACTGAAGACTGTTAGAATAAGTCAAAATCAAAATCAAGGCATTGTACTACAGTAAAAAGCCTTTCTTTTAAATATTCTAATGTTAATGTTATTATCCCACCGCTGCTTATTGCCTATTGTACACACCTACACAGTGGCTTTGCCAAAAACAACCATAAAAGCACCACCATTGTGAAACACACACAAACACAAACACAAACACACGCTCGTCTCTCCCTCATTTGAGTCTCTCTCGTTGTAATGACTGCTGTACACAACATTCCTAAGCAATATTTGAGCTTCTTTTTGTTTATCATTTGTAAGATGGTCATGATTTAGTGATTTTAAAATTGTGAAACTGCCAAGTAGTTGGTATTACAATGAGGATGTTAGTGTTTTTGGTCAAGGGAAGTTGTGTTTTTATGTGTATTCAGGACCATATGGCCACAAAATTGAAAGTTATTGTATTTTTTTAATTTAAAAACAGATCATGGTTGTTATTTCTAGTATGATTTATATATTTTCCCCTTCCTATTTAATACCTTCAGATGTTTTTCTTTAGGATTTTTCAAAGCCCCTCAAAACTGCTGTTTACATTAAAGATTTAAGAACCGTAACTACTTTTTCCTTCTGTTCCTCTCTTCATTCATAAACCACACTAACTTAAAGTATCATACCTGTCTTTTTGAACTTGCAGGTGGAAGATTGCTCCTTCATTAAGAACAAACAAGTGACTGCAGAAATTTGGTTCTAATCCATATCTGGATTGTGTTGGTTTGGCTGTTTAGCCAAGCAGCACACATTCAGGTTACAGGTACTTCAGACCATAACTAAAGATTTCCTACTAAACAAAACAAAAAAAAGATGCAGCTGTAAACTGCACTGAAATGATCTTGTCTACTGCTAACAAAAACTCCAAAAGGAATCATTTTGTCATAAATATGTGTAACTTTTTATCATTGTACCTTTTTAATAATGAAAAAATCTCCTGAATGAGTAACAGGTGCATCGAAGGACACAACTTCAACAGAAGATCTGTTCTTCTTCTATCATTTAGTAGACTGACTATGTACCATATTTTACAGATATTATTATATTCAAAACTGTACAGTGAACTTAGTTGCTAAAAAAAGATTGCATGAAACTGATTTGATTTGGACGAATTTTGAGCAGCTTATTTCCTGTTTAGGGAAATTTTTTATACAATTATCTGTCTGTATTTTAAAAAAAAATTCATTTTTAACAATCCTACATATTTAATAGGCTGATTTTCTTTTTCTTTTTTTCTTTTCTGAAAAATGTTCTTGTCCCTGACACTCTGCCATTATTATATTAGACCATTTACTTTACTTCACAGAAGCGAACCTACTGGCCTACTGTGTATACTTTCATTTAGTTTTATTACACATCTTGAAATCAAGAAGCCATCGCAACCCCCCATGAAGCTTTGGTGACTCCTAGTGGGGATCCCGACCCCTAGGTTGGCATCCACTGGTCTACATGACTGTCATGAGGTATAACATACCATAGTTTTTTCATTTGTACATTTATCATTTGAACATCAAAAAATATTTTCCTACCAGATACTAGAACAGAACTGTATAATGGGAAAGAAATTCAGAGCAAAAAACATTTAAATTGAAATGTGTATACTCTATAGCACACAAAAAGCAGAATCAACCCCTGTAATATACCTATGACTGCTCATTCATTCAGTCTGCAGTACTGAGGGGGGAACTAACTACAAGTATGAGTATTTTCTTTTTAATGCCACTTTCCACTACTTTTTACTTCACTACATTTATTTGACAGCTCTAGTCACTTTACAAATTTTGATTTTTGCATTAATAACATACGAGGTGGTTATAAAATATGTTTTGTTACAAATTACACTACCCAACACAAGTACAGCTGAAATAATTAGTTGATTAACCAGTTTGTTGATTTGACAGAAAATTAGGCAACTATTCATCATCAGTATTTTTTCATGCAAACACATTCACAAGTTCCAGCTTCACAAATGTGGGGAATTTTTGCTTGTCTTTTCCATTATTTTAATCATTTTAATTTATTTATATTTAGTGAAATTTTGAGATTCCTGGTTAGTGGTTTTTGACAAACATGGTAAAGTCAACTTTGGATTCAGGGTAATTGTGATAGCATTTGCCATTGTTTTGTAATTGTTTTATACCAAACAATTAATGCATAATGAAAATAATCATTATTTGCAGTATACAAAGTCAAAAATAGCTCCACCTCAGCTTTCATTTTACTTAAGTGACATTTTCAACGCAGGACTTTTACTTACTTATAATGAACACACACCTCATGGTCGGATGGGTGGGGGGTGTCATGCAAACAGTGTCAAAGTTTCTCCACCATCCCACCTCCTCCTCCTGCGGAGACTCCAGGTTCACCTCCTTCTATCCAGAACCTGCGGGTGTCCTCTGAGCTGCTACCGCTTTAGCAACCATAAAAACGGTCACTGGTCTTAACAGACAAAACTTAATGGCATTGGATGAAAATGCCTCTGTAGCCTCTGTTGTATCACTTTCAGAGCTGCCATTTCTGAAAAGACACATCACTGTACCCAAACACGTCCTTGAATCGCTCTCATATATTCAGGCTTAAAGCTCAAATGTCATTCTACATCTTTATCAAGCTGAATGTGCTCTATACAAGTCTCTCCATGTAGTTTAAGTTACATTTTCTACATGTTACAGTTGGAAGAAAATGCTATTTGAAAATGTCAGTTTTGATCAAAAGAATTGTCTCAATATCTCTATACTTCAATGAATTAAGCCGTTTTTGGATGTCAAACTCAAAGTATTCTCGATCAAAAAGCTGTCACTATGCTTAAATATTTATATGGAAAACAATCTGTCAAACACTATTGTGATTTATGGCCCAGAATGAGTAAGAATCTACCTTTTGTTTCTAAACTGAATATTTTAGCTTAGTTTGCCTTTGTTTGTGTGTGTGTGTG